AATATGTTTATTGTAAATTCGCCAGAAGTAGAATAAAATGTTGTATATTTTTCAGAATCACATCAAGTTTAGTAATTTACCTTACATCTACAAAACAACAATCACAGTTCTCGAGTGAACGATTTGCCTAAAACTTAACAAATAATAAGACTTACAAGTATAAAAACTATGTAAAAAAAATATTTTAATGTAATATAGGTATTGATTGCTAAAAACTTGCGTGCTATCGCTACTTAAAGAAAAACACAACAAATATGACATTTATAAATCAATGTAATACATAGATTACATATTAGGTACCACTGTTTTGAGTAGCAGACGAATCCCCATTTACTGCCGTGATAGCACTAGGCAAGTCATATCCACTGCAGCCTGACAGTACAACTGCAAGTCGTCCGCATACAGATGGTACGCACACCGAAGTTGAGAAGTAATGAAATTAATAAAGATTGAAAATAAGAGAGGAGAGAGAGAATGCCGCCCTGAGGGCACCAGCCAGTAGATCACACGAAATTGAAGAATTATCGTCGATTCGGATCGACTGCTGACGCCCCCGAAGATAGGAAGAGAACCAGTCCAGTTTGGTACCCGATGTTTTCCTGGTCACAAATATGATACTAGTTTTAGGGAAGTGTGGGAGAGCCATGCTTCGGCACGAATGGGCCGGCTCGACCGGAGTGATACCACGGCCTCACAAAAAACCGACCTGAAACAACGCTTGCGCTGTTTCGTCGTATGAGTGAGGTTACCGGAGGCCCAATTACCCTCCCCTTCCCCAATCTCCCCAATTCCTGAATCCCCAACGATCCTCAAACTTCTAATCCCCAAAAGGCCGGTAGTTAACGCACTTGTAATGCCTCTGGTGTTCCCGGTGTCCATGGGCGACGCCGATTGCTTACCATCAAGCGATCCGTCTGCTCGTTTACTGACTTATGCCATAAAAAAAAGTGGTGGCTTAGAAAGAAACAATGTGTCGCCTATGCTACTTTCAATCTTTTCTACTATCTCAACTAAGTAAAAAAATCACGGCAATTTGTAGCAAAACAAACAGAAATAATTATTTTTAATATTAAATATACTTTTCTATATCATCATAATATTTATCATCAGACATATTTTTGACAAGTGAGTTTCATGCCAATCGATTAGGTATTGACAATTTATTTCTTAATATCATGATACAATATTAAGGTATGCGGAGGCTGAATATTAATTTATTAACCATTGAACCTATTTGATTGAAATTCGGTTCAACAAGAGTTTGAGACACTGGCACTGGTAAGGAAATCTCACGGGACAGGAACTATGCGTTAAAATTCCGGTACTATCTTTTGCTTAAACCACTGAACCTATTTGAGTGTAATTCGGTACAATGATAGTTTGAAACTCGGAAAATGACGCCTGATAGTTTTTATTTAACCACTGTAGCTATTTGATTGGAATTCAAATGGAGTTTTAGTCACTGAAACCTCACAGGTATTGATACTATGAGGGTAAAATCCCTGTGGGGATATTTATTTTTTTAAATCACGAAAATAAACAACATTTCGCAATAAATATAACAAAATTGATTCTGATGAAATTTTTTACACAGCATTGCAATTAACCTTGGAGAAGACTAATTGAAAAATCAAAAAAATTGCCGGTAACTATTATTATACGCGGGCGAAGTCGCGAGGAACAGTTAGTAAATAGATAAAGGTGTAACTAAACCTATTTTTTAACTTAATGTTATACCACCTGTGTTACAATAAATTAATGATCATGATTATTATGATTATGTATAGTCAAAAGTACTTTTTTATTTATCAATGTTTTTGTAGTCAGTTCGGGATTTTTTGACAAAACCAAAAATGTTCAATGTCTCAGAAACTACCTCCTTTCGGACTAGGACCCCTTTTTATGTGGGGAAAATCATCGAATGACTTGTAACTCGACGTATTCCTCTCGAGGGGTGATATTCAACTAATTTCCTACAAAATTAGCCTTAAGGTCGCTAGTGCTGGGCTCACTGCCATTGCAGCGGTAAGTCCCCTCTTTGAGGAGTGGCTTGAGAGACGCTACGGCGTTCTCACCTACCGCCTGACGCAGGTCTTCACCGGACATGGGAGCTTAGGAGGTACCTGTGTCTGATATGCCCTGCGTGGACTGAGCACCGTCGTGCCTTCAGGGATGTGATCGACGACGGCGACCTCTCGCGACCGGCCCTAGACCGAGCCATGATGCGGAGCGAAGAGGACTGTGATGCCGTCTCTTCCGTTTACGAAGCAGTCATGCTATCAGGAGGCGGGGCGCGTGAGGCAGCGAAGCGCTGCCTCCTCACAGCCCAGCCGTCGCGAAGGACACTCCGGGCGTCGGGGATCGCGGGACGATCTCCGGACATGGGCAGCTCGCCGCCCGACCAGAACCAGATCCGATCGCGTTCCGCGCGCGCCTTAAGGAGCCATCAGACCACCACGAATGGGGCCCAATACTTAACGGGTTACTGGGGCTTCGGCTCGAAGGACAGGAATAGGAACGGGGTGGTTCTATGTCAGTAAGAGTCTGACACTCCCTCCCGCCTCACCTAGGCGGGAGAAGCCATTCGATGATTTTTCGCTCCTTAAACAAAAATCTATGTGTTATTAATATATGTTATACTAAAAATGTATGATTCCGATGTGTTTAAGGCGCGCCACAACAAGCTAGGCCACGCAAATATATTTGCGTTTTCTAGCAAGGACGTTGTTTGGTTTCTGGTACCTTAGCAATCTTAGCATCCATCTAGCTTAAAGAGCTGTTTTAATACATTGCTTGTCGTATCGTGTCGCGTGTGTCGCCATTCGCCAAATACATTACAATGGCGTGGCATGACATGACGCCATTGCGGCGCGCTGTCAGTGCTGTGGCCACGACATGTCATATTACGTTATTGTATTAATTATCTGTATCAATATCAAAATAACTAAAATGGCGGCCCACAGTACAATATGACATTAAGCATTTAAATAATAATGTGACATTATTTTCAATATGGTTTATTTTATAATTTTTTGAATAAAGAAATATTTTACGTTATATAAAAATTGTATTCCTGTTATTTTTTGATCACAACCATATCACAGCAAGTTCATTATTGTAGCAAGCTTAACAAAACGTAAAGTTTGGGGCAATTGTTTTTAATATTATTATTGGTTTGATGTCCATGACCTACACCCAACAAAAAATAAACATGTGGTTAATGTAAGTAATATTTTTAATTGTTTCAACTACACAGTTGTTTATTTTACGAATATTCATACAAATATTAATAATTACCTTTGTTTCAGGAATAGGAAAGTGCGAAACGTATTTAAAAAAAAAGAACAGCGCTAATTATTCCCCTAGTGGCAGACATAATGTACTAATTTGTCAAAATAGGTTATAATACTACCAAATGCGGAAGAATGTAGCATAACATCTACTCTCTCGTTTTTCTTGATGATATTATGATTTTCGGTCTCTTTTTTCAGCTGTCAGACAACACAATGTATATTTCCTTACTTATACCGCGAGGCTACGTACCTACGTAGTAACATTGCTTTACGTTCGTGGTTTTCGAGAAGAAAAAAGCTCAAATCTGTTCATTATTATAAAATCAAACGAGAAAATGTTTGGTGGCAGTGTGCCCGCAGTGATTCAATCCAGGTGAAACACGCGCCGTGTAAGGAGAGTGTAAAACGTGGTGTGACGAGCACGAGCTTGCGGTTGCCGTAGTTTGTTATCAAACAGCACTGGTCGAGGCCGCGACCGCGAGACCATGGCGGAGGCGGCGCCTGGCAATATTGTGAAGGAAGGCTGGCTGCAGAAGCGGGGCGAACACATCCGCAACTGGCGTGACCGTTACTTCATCCTGTTTGACAATGGTGATCTGGTAGGATTCAAGACGCAGCCGGAACGGAACAACTACCGCGATCCCCTGAACAAGTTCACAGTACGGGACTGCCAGATTATGGCTGTAGACAAGCCGCGCCCCTACACCTTCACCATCCGCGGCTTGCAGTGGACTACCGTCATCGAGCGCAACTTCTCAGTGGACACTGAGAAAGAACGGTAGGTGGTCCCATGAGGCATGCCATTAGTGTAGCAAGTAATCAGTCTATTATTCCACGACTTCATGAGGTTGCATGGGATTTGCCCGCTCCACACAAAGTCATAAGGAAATACTGTTTGGGAGGATGATGCTTTGTTATCCATATGTTTTCCTGTTTCAGTGGTTTTGATGTAGTCATAAATGAAAATATGTTAAATCACACTAATATTTATTATTACACTATTCTAATACTACTATAACACTCATGTCACACCTAATTTTTACCCATTTATCCCCCAGCAACTTGGGGGTTTTTTAGTTCAGTATAATGCACCTTACAATATTCCTGGTCATTGTAAACGGTAAAGGAATTTGGATTGTTGGTGGTGATCTAGTATATCATACATTTAAGACCCATGGTAAATAACATATTTGCTTCAAAATAACATTAAAAAAACAGTAGTTGTGAAATATGTAAAACAGGTAATCTTCATAGTTTTTTGTTTCTTCTACATACATAGTGTGTAGTATTCATTAAGTATAAAGCACTGATTCATTTTGTAATTACTACTGCTTGTAAATGTTTCTTTTACCACAAGATAGCATTTGCCAAAATGTATTAAGATTTTGATTCTCATTTTATTTTGTATTCAATAATAGGGCTGTTGTTTTTCACTTAGGAAAATAAAGATTAAAGCCCTTCTTATAAAATAAAGATTAAAAAAAAATTGTGAAAAACATTATCACAGTCACAGACTAATGAATCATGTTCCCATTAAATTAAAATGGTGTCTGCTTAACAGTTGCTTAGTTACGAAGGAAAATCTATTAATTCTTATAGTGACAAATCAGATGGTAAACAATTAAACTGTCAAACACCAAGCGGTCACCGGTGACCGCAACCTATTGTTCTGTAATTGTGTCTACAAAACCGGTACTCGACGAGTTAAAATATATAGCAAGCTAGCTCCAAATGAACAATCCTGTAAGAACAAGCAAGGAACTGCTTAGTGTACTGTGTTACATTCATTATCAAATTCAATGATGTGAGTACATGTCAGGTTAGTGAGACATTGTTTAGGTTCCTTCACATCACCCTAAACTGTTGTTACTGATTAACCAACAAAAGGAATATGGTCACCAATTAAAAAACAAACCAGCTTCTGGCAGTGGCCTTACTCATGTTCCCGTGCAATGATATTGCAGAACATCATCTATCTTAGTTCCAAATTTACTCCCAATCCCTTTAACTGTTTTGGCATGATGGAATTACAATCATACATCTCTCTATTGTCCCATTACAGGGCAGAAATGTTTATACACCAGATGTTTAGTTGAAAGAAGACAAATATATTTAGGAACATCACATTCTAATTGCATCAGTAGTTTTCATGTGATGCATGCACAAACACCTGATGACTGAATGATGAATG